ATGCTCAATAGCCAAGGGAAATGACGCGTGCGACGTCAGAGGCACGTGAAATAACCTTTGACAATGGCGCGTAACAATTCCTCGGCACATATCTGTCTGCTGCTTTAACACGCGCACGGGTGGCCGGCTAGACACCCTTCTCTCGGGTGGGGAGGGGTCAATTTAACTGTCCCTGAGATCTCGGGAACTAAGAGAGCTAGAGACACCAAATTTACAGGGTGTCTTGAACTGTACGTGAAATCTCTTAAGTCAAGGTTTGGGCTTCCTAGGTCATGACCTTCAGGTCAAATAAGGTCAAACAAGGTCAAATTCCATGTCAGTCTCTAAAGTGCCCCCAGCACCTAGGCAACTGTTTCTAAGCAAAAGGTCGCACGCCGTGCTTAGTTCAGTGTCCTTGTTTGACCTTTTGTAGGTCATGGTGAAGGAAATTATACAAGACTGCTCTGAGTTTTGCACTTGAATAAACGACAAAGATTACGCTAGGCAGTATGTTCCTAAAACAAAATATTGACCCGGGTCATCTTAGGTCAATGACCTGTTCTGACCTCTAAGAAAACAATGGAAGATGCATAATGCGGTTCCTGCTGTCAACAAATTGGAAATGAGCACCACAAACTATCCCATACAGCAAGCTCTAGAGAAATAAATCAAGTTGGTTTTGACCTAGGTCTGCCCTTCATACCTGACCTTAGGTCAGCGCAATTTGTTCATTCAATATTTGTGGTGCCTAAGAAAGCATCTCAGAGATGTATGACTTCGTCAAACACTCCGTTATTGTATCAGATTGGACGATTCCCTAGAAGTCGCCCTCGCTGAAACCATGGCCTGACTTTGACCTGCCATAGGTCAGCAACCTTGCAAGGTATATCTACATTTTTATGTCAAACGATCCGCTTCTGAATTGTTTACAGCTATGCAAAATTTGGCGCGGCTTCGCTGCGCTGTTCGGAAACCATTCTGGAAAAACCTTCGGGGAGGGGGTCAATTTGACCCCCCACCCCCAACCCACCCAAGCGCGTGTTAAGGCGAGGGCACCAGAGCCAATAGGGACGAAACCTGGGCAATCATGGGTGCCACATGAGAGGAACAAAGTGGCTGCCGTCAGCAAGTATAGGATCCTCAGAGCAAGCAAAAAAACCAAGACTTTCGTGATGGACCCTAAACGATCGGAAGCGCCCCGGCAGGCTGACATGTAAGGCCCCGGCCAGAGCACAGAATTCCCTGAGCAAAGGGCAATTATGCAAGACCATGAATTGATTCCCTGTGCGGTAAAAATTACCCGGGTAATTTAACAAAAGGAGCCCGATAGAAGTGAAGAGTCCTCCGCAAATGAGGCCAAAGGGAGAGAGCCCTCGATCAAAGAAGAGGGGCCCTGAGCATCGAGCGTCTCCGTGCTTTACCTCATATGAGCCCCAGCAACAGCGTAAGGCCCTCCGAGCAAGTGGAAAGAACCCAAGACTAATATGAAGGGCTCCTGAGCACCTGAGTGTACCCTGATATATGGGGCCCCGGAAAAAAGCGCATAAAGCCTTTCGGGCGAATGGGAAGAATCGGTGGAGGGCCCCTGACCGATCATTAATGTTCAGGCATGAAAGCAGGTAGTATCCCAACAGCAGCGTTGAGATCATGTACGGAAAAGGAAAAATGCTAAGAGATCAAGAGGAACCTGGAGGGCTCCTTGGCGATCAGATTGACCAGGCAAATGCACATATGTAGCCCGAGAAAACAGCGTAAGGCCTCTGCAAAAACATAATGTGCCCCACAATTTCCTTCAATCACCATCCTTTCAATCAGTGAAGACTTGAATCTGCATGCTTATTAACTCTTCGTTTTCGCTTGCAGCCGTTCCTTGCCGTCTGTAGGCCCAAATACGTCCAAGCTTGTTGTGTTTTTTTGTAAGAAAATTGTGTCCGTTCAACCGGTTATCGGCCACTTCGAAGCCTGTGGATCCCCTCTGCATAGTCCGTGGGGCATGGTCCGATGTCCCCCCTCCCCCCCCCCCCCCCACCTCTGTATCCGCCAACGGTCCAAGCAGCTTAATAAATGGGGCCCGCCAAGAACATAGGGCCATTCAGGTAAAAAACACTCAAGACAACGTGGAGAGTCCCGAAGTGATCGAGTGCGCCAGAGCAGGTTAACAGATAGGGCTCCCATCAAGAGCGTAGAGCCCTCCGTTCAAATATGAAATACCCACTCACGATATAGAGGGCCGCCGAGTGATCGAGTACGCCAGAGCAAGTTAACAAATAGGGTCCTCATCGAGAGTGCAGGGCCCTCAATTCAAATGAGAAGCACCCAAAACAAAATGGAAATGGCCCCTGAACGATTGAATTTATACGAGCAGTGTATCAGAAGCGGCTCGACAACAGCGTAGAGCCCTTCGTTCAAATAATAACTACTCAAAACCCAGTGCGGAGGACCCGCGAAAGATGGAGCGCACCCGAACAGATTGTCAAATGGCCCTCGAAAGGAGCGTATTCCCTTTAATTCAAACACGAAGAGCTAATGTACAGGGCTCCCGACAAGTCCAGTACAACCGAGGAAGCGAAAAGAGGTGGCCTCCGATAAGTGCGTAAGGTCCTCTAGTCAAACAGGGAGCGCTCAGTACATAATGCGGGGCCCCGAACGATCGAGTGTGATCGAACAGGTTAACAGATGGGGCCCTCGACAAGAGAGTAGGGCCTTCCGTCCAAATATGAAATACCCACGACACGATATAGAGGGCCCCCGAATGATCGAGTGCGCCAGAACAAGTTAACAGATAGGGCTCCCGTCAAGAGCGTAGGGCTCTCCATCCAAATAGGATGCGCCTAAGATCCGATGTAGAGGTCGCCAAACGATCCAAAGTGTCCGAGCAGCTTTTCAGAAGGGGCCCCGACAGGAGCCGAAGGCCCTCCATTCAAGTAAGAAGTACCCAAAACAAAGTGCGGAGAGACCCTGAAAGATGAAATGTACCCGAGTAGGTTATCAGATGGTCCCGCTAGGAGTATAGGGCCCTAAATTCAAACACCAGGACGCAATGTGCAGGGCCCTTAAACAATCCAGTGTCGCCAAGGAGGTGAACAGAAGGGCCCTGACAAGTGCGTAGGGCCCTCCGTTCAAAAAAGAGGCACCCAAGGCCCAATGTAGAGGGCCCCCAACGATCCAATATGCCGGAGCAGGTCATCAAAGAGGCCCCGACAAAGGCGTAAGGCCCCCCAATCAAAAAAGATGTACCCAAGACATAGTGCGGAGGGCCCGCGAAGGATCGGGTATTTTGAGCAGGCTATCAGATGGCCCCCGATAGGAGCGCATGGCCCTACACTAAAATGCCCAATGTGTAACGCCCCAAACAATCCAGTGTGCACCAGCAAGTTAACAGATGGGGCCCTAACAAGTATGTAGGACCCTCCATTGAAATACAAAGCACCCAAGACCGAATCTGGTGCGCCCCGAACGACCGATGCGCCCAAGGAGATTAGCAGGTGGGCACTCGACAAGAGTGAAGGGCCCTAATCAAGTGGTGAAGAAAGGAAAGCGCCCTAGACTAATGAAGAAGGCCCATAAGCATATCGTGAGTGTGTCGATAGGTTTGTTGTGCGTATAAGGCACTAACACTTAAATGAATATCATTACAGCAAAGGTTTATTTGAGAGACACTGGCACGTGACAAGAGTCGTTTGCGCGCGCCGCGACGTGAGAGGAAAACGGATGTAGGCAGAGCTGGCTTGTTGCTGTTGAGGAAAGGCATGTAAGAGATGTTGAAACACTTCGCCAAATGAAATGTTTTTACGAGGTGGAACTTTTTTCTGTCGGCGTGAAGAAATAAATTAAATGGTAGGAAATGATTGTAGGTACAGCTGGCGGAGTTAACGTGACTAATTGCTAGTGAAACCCGGTACTGCATAGGGCGCGGCAACATCTACTGAAGTTGGTGGCAAGCTTATTTTCAATGGCGGCACCTTAAACTTTCATGACGCCCCCTACGGTGGTGTCGCCGCCTACGGTGGTGCCGCCGCCTACGGGTGACGCCGTCTGTCGGTTACCCGATGCCGACATAAAGGGTGCCTGAGCAACCGAGAATACCTCGTCAGGTTAACATATGGTGTCTCAGCTACAGGGCCTTTCCGGCGAATGAAAAGAACATGTGGAAGGCCCCTGACTGACAAGAGCGCCCCAACATGCTAGCAGGAAGGGCCTAGGAACGGCGCAGGCGCCCCCCCCCCCCCCTCCGAGCAAATGCTTAGAATTAAGGGCAAAGTGGAAGACTGCTTAATGATCAGAGTAACCCTGCCAGTGATCATACAGGTCCCCCGGAAACGGCATGGCCCCCTGGACAGCACAATGAAACTTGAAATTTCCAAATAACAGTTTTCAATCATTGAAGTTCTGCTTTTGTCCATTCGTGGGTCCTTTACTTTTGTTTGCGGCTGTTCTTGGTTGCCTGCAAGTCCAAAGACCTCCAGTTTTGTTGCATTTTGTGTTAAAATTGCACCTGTCCGGCCGGCTACGGGCCCCTTCAGAACCAATGTGCCCGGAAGAGCCCGGGGGAGGGGCATGGTCCCGTGGCCCCCCTCCTGGATGCGCCCCTGGAATATGGATCTTGGGCTGTGGTGGTTTGCATTAGGCATGGGTTCGACTTAAATATATTAAATGAGCTAAGGAATAGCTCACAGAGTTCAGGATTTGATTCAGTTCATGACTCATTCCTGTCCCATTTTTTACTTGACTCAGTTCAGGTGCAGTGCTTGCATTGAATCACTCATGACTCATGCTGGTTGTAAAAGCAAGGGTCACTGGGCTGTGCTCTTTAGTATCCCCACGTACTAAACATCGCAGGTTTTAGTACGGATAGGTACTAAATACCGTTGCCTTCTTTGTAAGCATTGGTAGTAAATATTCTCGAGGTGTTGGTTTAATCAGCTGGGTTTCCTTCACCAGTTGCTTGATACTGGTAGCCTTGGGTTTCCTTTAGCCTCCATTCCTAAACTGCTGACCTTGTTGCTGCTCTTGCCGTATAACCGAGACCCCGTTCACGGTAGGTGTTGTGCGGCGCGAAGGACTTGCATTCAACTCGGGTGAAAACAAACCATGTTGGTATGGGCTGAGCCATTAAGTAGTTGATGAGAGGTGAGTATCTTTCTCTTGCACTCTGCTTTATTTTACTGGATGGTGGAAGGGAATCCCGACAATGTGTGACATCTTTCACGTGTGTGGTTGACACGAAGAATGTTAATTGCTTACAAAAAGTGCAAATAATTGTTCTGGTGTTATGGTGTTGATTTAATGAAAGCTTTCAGCAGCTTTCAGTAGCAGGAAGCTTTTGTAAGTCCTGCATATTCTATAGTGCTGCATAAGTCTGGCCACAAATGAAGATTTTTTGTGGCACTGACATAGCAAAAGGTCAGGGCAGAGCTTTCCAAATTAAGCACAGCAAAAATAAAATAAAAATGCTAACAAGCGAGGAAAATATTGGATATCTTAGCATAGGCTATCTATCCCAATAGCTCAATAGTGAAGTTTGCTTGCCCTCATCTAACCACTATTCTGTCTGTTCCTGTCAGTCCTAAAAAGATGAGGTGAATTTGGAGGGGGTTGGAGGAGCACAGAAGTCTGCTGCTGCGGGAACTTTTTTGGATGAGATGTTTGCTAGCTGTCTGCACATAAATGTAGCAGTTTTGGCACCCTGACACAAAAAAGTATTGGGCTTACTGTTAACAGAAAAAGTAAACACAAAATCAGAAAATATTCAGTGTTATTATATTAATATTAATCTGAAAACATAAAAATGACACCATGTTGTCTATCTGCACTTATATGCACATGCCATTTGTTTCCATTATGTGTCAACAAATGGAGCCAAAAAGGCATATGCATGAATTGCACTGTTTGTGGAAAACCACCTTTCATTTCATGGGAGGTTTAAGGAGGTAAGCAGCAAACTTAAAGGGGCTTGCAGGAGGCTGGAGGAGCCACAGGTATGAGCAGATTAGTTTGGAGGATGTTTGAGGGGGTTAGAGAAAGTTAAAGGGGTAATGGGAAGAGGTCAAGCACTCCTCCCAATGGACAATATTATCCTCCAGATTTATGACTTTATTATAGTGCAAGCATGTGCTTGGCTCTGGCTTGCTTCATTTGAAACAAAAATATGCTATTTATAATCTATCATTTTTGGGGTTCTGGGCTATGAAGTACACAAATGGTAAAAAGATCAAAATGTTTAAGTTTACAGAGATATCAATAATTGGTGAAAACTATGTCTTCTGGGAAATCTGGTCTTTGATGAATTGGGGCTGACATAAATTAGGTGCATTTTCTGAATGTTGGCTGCTGGAGAACTGATACTGTCCTTTATAAAGTGTCCTATACTATTCAATAGTCCTTGTGATATGCACCATAATAAGTAGTTGATACACATGCAATTTGAAGAGCAGCTCTGCTGTTACACTCAATAGCTGATAGGATTGTTCAAATCCTGTTTTGTGCAAATGACTGGTTTCTTATTAGTTAATAAATTTGAGATGATGTGCAACAATCTCATCCCCTGTTTTTCAGTCACATGTAAACAGCTGCTGCAGCACCAGGTGTTATGGTGAATTGCTTTGCATAAGAATCACAAGCTGCAGCCATGGACAGTTCCAACTACAACCCAGCAGATTTGGGTGGATTTCAAAAGCAGGTAGGTTGGTCTTCATCACCACACAAGCATCACAAGGGTCAGCTGATTTTGCATTTCAGTCTATGGGCCTTTGTCATGCAATGAAGACCATACATAGCCTGTGGGCTACATCAGTCTCTTCATAATCCACATAATGTTCTGTTATATAGTTATGCCTTGCTGTGAGATAGCATGTGTAGGAGATGTTTTTGGCTGCTTACTGTTTATATTGATTGTTGTGATCATGTAGATATAATTTGATGTTAACTCATTGCCAGTCATTGATATGAAAACAGTGGGTTTGAACATCAGGTGTGGGTCACTCAGGCTCCATAATGGCAGAGTACAAATTTCCTAAAGTGGAGTACAAAATTATCCAAGTGCTGTGGGTCAATACAGCATTATTTAGGCTACCTTTAAGAAGTAGTAGTACAATCAGTGGCACTCAACAAAAGTGCCACTTTTCATGTACAGCAATTCATGTAAGAGCACTTTAAATGAAAGAAAACATCAGTATTAAACATGGTCCACTGAAACAACACAGTCTCATACTCTGTACTATGAAACACATGCACAGATAAATTGGTTTGCAATTTATGAAAGGCTCTGTGTATACACCCTCCAAAATAGGGGCGGGGGTAATTTTGCATCAGGCTTATAGGCTCTCCAAAATGGAGGGTGGCTACACACTGGGTTTATACACCCTCCAAAACGGAGGGTGGATACAATACGCACAGCCGGACAAAAATGGTGCACAAAAAATGCAAATGAACATCCCACAGACAGCCACCTACTCATGCTCCACCACGATCACGCTACTCCCGCTCCACCACAGTCACGCTACTCACGCTCCACCAGCTAACTGGTTCTAGAAACAGCCAAACATGCATGTCCTCCACCTTCCCACTCCCACCCAACACACGAGGCCCTGCACGTCCCACCCGAACAATAGAGACAGGCAGCACTCTTAACCTATTTACCGAGCCAGCGCAAGTACGGTGCCTGCCAGACATGTGCAGGCCGGCCAAAAGGGATCGGGGTCATTCACTCCGCTGACTCCGGCGAATAATGCAAGGTATTTATGGATTTTAGTGAGCTTTAACCGATATCATTGCGACATATGATAATTTATGTTGCCATTGATTGATGTTTTTGTCCTAATAAACCCCCCTCCTTAATTTGCCTGGCCAAAGTTTTGGGTTCGTGTTACTCTGGTGTCCTGGTGTGTTTGCGGGAGTGAGATGGCTGTCTCCGAACAGTTTTTTGGCCATTTATAGCTACGTTTTTCAACTTAAAAGGGTAATTTTGTAAAGCCTGAATCACCAGCCTTAATTTCATACCCTGAAGTGACAATTTTAACTTGGTTTAAATCCACTGCTGTCGTAATAGATTTGTACTCCGGGTACCAGGAAGTGGCCAAAAATCCAACCACACGGTGGTTCTGGATGAGTATAAATAAGTCCTTCATTATCCTGATGCCTATCTCTGTGCAGCTTCCCTCCAAATGTTTACAGATCTGTTCAAGGCATGAGCGCGAGCAAAATATTTATGCTCTTGACAAATCAGTCACGAGGAGGCGAATCATTAAAACCAATTGGAGAGCTTTGCTATGTTCAACCTCCAACCTGGGCTAGGAGGCGGGGGCAAGTTGCTGAATAGTTGAGACGTTTCCGACGCTGAATTGTGAGGGATTCTCTTATTTGCATTGCCATGACGCAGTGGTGGCATGTGGGTAGGCGGCCGTCTGCCGTCGGTAATTGAGTGTGCGGTTTTCTATGAATGTTCGTTGCATCCTTGGCAATTCATGCGGTTCGTCGTCAATGGTAGGTTAAGTCATGTTAAAGTTTGGGTGGTTCTGCGTAGGGCATAGGAAGTGAGAGCTTTGCTAATCTACAGACCGGTGCGATTCTAGCACTCGCTTCTCATTTCCCGGTATTGTTCAAAGACGATTCCATTCAACATCCAAACGCTTAATTTTTTACATTTCCATGCATGGCTTATCCTGTACCTAGGTGGCAACACAGGCTGCTTGCTATTGGGTATCTTAGTCTGGTGGGTGTAAGATTTGTGCTCTTGAAGATATAAATACATGGCTCCTGATGGAAGCAGCGAGTCTTAAGCTGTTGCACCTTCTGGATTTATTTTGTCCTGGCATGAAGAGGTAAAATGAGTTTTTCCAAAAGCTGTTCTTGTTGCATCATGATGGGGCACAAAATATTTCATTTTACCTGGTCACAATCCTGGAGTACAAAACCTCCTGGTATACATTATGCAAGGAAACATCAAGTTTTCCAACCCTGCTTGTATGTGCACATGTTAGTGCACATACCTGGATGTCAAGGACCGTTTTCAGCCACTGGACAGCTCCCTAACGGCTGGTGGAGCCCTGGAGCGCCGCACGCGCGTGCTGACGCTGTGCGCCGCGTCGCCGCCGGCAGCTCTCCGACATGGTGGTGACGTACCGGCAGCTGCCGCACGACGAGCAGCCGGCCGCCTTCCACATGCTGCAGGCATCGCTAGGGCCGCTGCTGACCGTGCCTGCTGAACTGTGTTCGCCGGAGCCGGCCGGCGCCGCCCCGGCCCAGTCGCCCGCCGAGCCCAGGTGCGGCTCAGACACGCCTATGCTGGTGGCGCTGCAGCTGCAGCTGCATGTGCTCGGGTCTTTCTGTTGCGTCGCCAGCGGTGGGCACGTGTTGGACTGTCGGTGGAGCTTCTTACTGTCATTTGGATGCCTTTTGGGGTGGGGTGTCTGTGTGTTTGTTTGTCTCAAGTGTGCTTCAGTGAACATGGTTCAGCCTCAGAAAGCTCAAACTGTGTTGACGCAGAGTAGCTGCCTGGTCAGGCTCGTTCAGCCGTTGCTGGTTTCAGTGGAGTCAGTAGCCCTATGGTTGGACCGGCAGCTGGACCCTGCCCATGCGTGTTGGAGCAGCGCCGCAGCCCCTCCCCTCCCCCCGCCCGCCGGTGCCGGTGCCGGTGCCGGTTGTCCCGTCTGATGCGCTCGCTGGCCGCTCCAGCTCCGTGGAGGCGCCGATGGCCGACATCGCGTGCGCCGAGCTGCAGCGGGAGACGTTCGTGGCGCGTCTCGGCGATGCCGAGGGCCAGGAGGCGAGCGAGGCGGACGAGGCCGCCTGCCCGGCCGTGCCCGAGTCGCCGTCGGCGGCAGAGGACGTCCAGCAGCCGGGGGGCACCGCCGCCGAACCGGCCAGCAGCGGACAGGTGCGACCGCCGCACCGAACCGGCAGCACGGGCCATCGGCAGGACAGCGGAGCGCTAGTGGCACGTGCTGGCGTCATGTTTGCCGGGGCTGAAATGAACCATACTCTGAGTTGTATCCATGCAGTGGGGGCTACATCCCAGGCAAGGTAACGCCGTGATGGAGGCATGGAACTGGTCGTTGGTTGTAAGGAGGCAAACGGACTAACAGGCGCTCTAAACCGTGAGCTAGTGACGCGTTCTGGCTTCTGATGACAGGCGGCAGAGCCTGTGGCGGCCGGCGGCAGGCGGCGCTACATCTGCCCGGTGGCCACGTGCGGCCGAGAGTGCGGCCATCGGAAGGCCATGGTGCTGCACGTCAAGTGGGAACACGAGCAGGGCCCTGTCTGCTGCCTGGCCTGCCGTCACGAGTTCGCCACGCACGCCTACTTCCTCTACCACAAGAAGAGCTGTTTCCAGGGTAAGTGGCTGGTGCCGGACGGGAGACGGGCTGGGGAGAGGCGCGACGTGTTGGATGTGGGGACGGTGGGAGACGGGCTGGGGAGAGGTGCCGCGTGTGGGGTGCGGGGACAGGGCGGGAGACGGCCTAGGTGGAGGCGTCGCGTGTTGGGTGAGGGGGAGCGGGTACGAACTCGTATCATTTGGACTTCGGATGGTCGTTCGTGCCGTTCCAGAGCATGGGTTGACGGACGCGCGTGGTGGGATGGTGCGTAGTTGAACGTGCAGACAGTTGCCATTGTGTGCTGGGCCGTGCAGACAGTTACTGTTGTGTGGTGGGATGTGCAGATAGTTACCATTGTGTGGTGGGACATGCATGCAGTTGCCATTGCATGGTGGGACATGCACACAGTTACTGTTGCTTGTTGAGACATGTACACAGTTACCATTGGTCAGAGGTGCGGACAATTACCATTGTGTAGTGGGACATGCAGACATTTGCCATTCATGCAGACAGTAGCCATTGCGTAGTGTGGCATGCAGTTGCCGTTGCGTAGTGGGACGTACAGACAGTTACCGTTGCGTGGTCAGATGTGCAGACAGTATTGCGTGGTGGGACGTGCAGACAGTTACCATTGGTAAATCAAGTGTTCTGTCGCTCGGCGTGCATTTGCTCCTGTGCATCGCCATGCGCACGTGGGCGTGTCCGGCATAACGGCGCTCCTCCCAGGAGTACTCCCCGCCTGCGCACGTGCCTCACCTCACCTATGGCCGGACAGCAGCCCCCGTCAGGCGTCTCGCGTATGCCGAGCAGGTGTGAGCGCCCTGGTGTGCCCCGACTGCGGCGCCCGCTTCACTATGGAACTGCCGTACCGGCGCCACCTGGCCGGCCACGCGCTCAACGCCTGCCACAACTGTGGCGAGCGTCTCTCCAGCCGCAAGGCGCTCGTCAAACACCTGCGCCACGAGCACAAGATCCGCGAGTGTGAGAAGTGGTTTGCCTGTGACAAGTGTGACAAGCGGTTCATGAAAAAGCGCTCCTGGCTCAGCCATTCCAAGGTGGGCTGCAGTAGCGGATGCAGGCTGTGACTCTGACTGGGCTGATATCTGTTTTTTTCAAACGAGGAAAAACTTTTATGTTGAATCAGTTTCAAGGGAAACACCACGTTGTTTTGGAATTGTCCAAAGACTAAGTGTTGCCTCGGAGGTGAGCTGGTCGCCGTTGCCCTGAAGACTGCGGCAGCCCCGCCTTGTTATGTGATGTGTCTCCGCGCTGTGAGACCACCAGCGGCCACGCTGGCGATCACTGAGCCCCAGACTGTCTCATCACTGGCCTGACCTGATCACTGAGCCCCAGACTGTCTCATCACTGGCCTGACCTGATCACTGAGCCCCAGACTGTCTCATCACTGGCCTGACCTGATCACTGAGCCCCAGACTCTTCTATCACTAGCCTGATCACTGAGATCCAAACTGTCCCATCACTGGCCTGACCTGATCACTGAGATCCAGACTGTCCCATCACTGGCCTGACCTGATTTCTGAGCCCCAGACTGTCCCATCACTGGCCTGATCACTGAGCCCCAGACTGTCCCATCACTGGCCTGATCACAGCCCCAGACTGTCCCATCACTGGCCTGGCCTAGCCTGATTGCTGAATTCCAGACTGTCCCAGCTCTGGCCTGGCCTGATTACTGAGATCCAGACTGTCCCATCGCTGGCCTGACCTGATTACTGAGCTCCCCGCAGTGCCATCGCTGGCCTGGCCCGGTCACTGAAATCCGGACTGTCCCATCGCTGGCCTGGCCTGATCACTGAGTCCCAGACTGCCCCATCGCGGGCCTGGCGTGATTACCGAGTTCCCTGCAGTGCCGTCGCTGGCCTGACCTGATAACTGAGCTCCCGGCAGTGCCGTCGCTGGCCTGACCTGATAACTGAGCTTCCGGCAGTGCCGTCGCTGGCCTGACCTTATAACTGAGCTCCCGGCAGTGCCGTCGCTGGCCTGACCGCCTCACACTGACAGGTACACGCCACTAAGGACGACGTGCAGTGCAGCCACTGCGACCTGACGCTGAGCAAGGCGCGCCTGATCGACCACGTGCTGAAACAGCACGGCAACGAGCCCTTCAGCTGCGACACCTGCAGCAAACGCTTCCGCCGCAACCAGCAGTACTTGCAGCACATGCGGGTGCGTGGTGGAGACGGTCGGCACGCTGCCTGGACCCACCGGACGTCGCTCAGCGCCGCGCTTCTCGTGGTAGCTGGCCTCTGTCGTCCCCCCCCCCCTCGCCCGGACCCCATGTGCTCGTCATTTAATTGTCCCCGGTCTGACTCTGACCTCTGTTCGTCATGTGCCCTCCCCCCTGGTGAACCCCACCTGCCCTGCGTTTGGTGGGGATTCTCTGCCTCCGACACCGTGCCCTGCAGCCCCGTCTGCACCACGACTGCTTGACTCCAACGGCCGTGTGAGGTGTTCGGTCGGTCTCCGCTCACTGGACCCCGTGACCGACAGCTACACGAGCAGCACAATACGTGAGGCAAAGCGTACATCATGGAGGGAATATGTAAATGGTTTAAATCGTCACACCCCACTGAGTGTAGTGTGACAGCGAGTTAGTCGCATTTCCGGTAGGAGCGTCTCCACTGCAGTTTCGGTGTTGAAGGTGGCGGGAATCACGATATTGAACACACAGGAAGTTTCCAACAAAATAGGCCTCGCATTTGCAAAAAGGTGCCGACATGGAACAGACGACCCACGCTTTATTCGCCACAAGGAACAAAGCGAGAAGACGGCAATCAATTTTAGAATCCCTGACTCAGAGATTTATTATTACAACCAACCAACCATTCACTGTCATGGAGCTCTGCACCGCTCTTAAGAGAGCTAAGAGTGTGTCGCCTGGATTGGATAAAGTCCACAATGATATGCTGAATCACCTAAAGAAGGAGTCCCTCCATGCCTTACTCTCACTTTTCAACTACATATGGTTGCAAGATGACTTCCCGGAGTCGTGGCGGGAGGCCATTATAGTCCCGATACAGAAGCCCGGAAAGGATGGTTCCGACCCACTGCACTGCCGCCCAATTTCGCTGACTTGTTCACACTGTTCACTTAACGATCTTAGACACAGCTACACGACATTCTTTTAAACAAAGACGTCACACGATAGCAGTCTTCTTTGACATTGAGCGGGCTTATGATACCACCTGGCGCTATGACATTCTAAGCAAAGTACGCAAGTGTGGACTCCGAGGTCATATGGCGCTCTTCCCTGAAAACTTTTGACGTCGTCGATTCTTCCGCGTCCGAGTGGGTGGCATGCTATCGGATCGCTATGAACAAGAGAACGGTGTTCCTCAAGGGAGCGTCCTTAGCGTAACCCTGTTTGCGCTGACGATCGATGATATCGCCGACTATCTGCCACCTACAATCAGTCGGTCACTGTTTGTGGACGACTTTGCCATCTGGTGTGCGGCATCCACAACGACGTCTGTTGAGAGGCAGCTTCAGTTATGTCTGATTCGACTAACTGAGTGGAGCCTTAAGAATGGGTTCAAATTTTCGACCACCAAGACTAAGTGCATGCACTTCTGCTCACGGATTAGAGGCTGTAGAGACCCGGAGTTACGACTCTATAATGCCACTATCCCAGTTTGTAAGGACATTTGTTTCCTGGGCCTCACGTTTGACCGTCGGCTCACGTCCAAGCAACACTTTAAGGTGGTTAAGACTAAGTGTCTCAAGCACATGAACCTCATGAAAGTAATGTGTCGTTTGACCTTTGGAGCCGATAGAAGCACCCTGTTGAACCTGCATAGGGCCCTAATTCGATCAGTCATCGATTGTGCTAGTCCTGTCTACGATAGTGCTCCTACATCTTCAAAGCAGGTTTTGGACACAATCCACCATGTGTTCGTATAGCCACTGGGGCGTTTCGTACGACTCGAACAAGAAACTTGCTGGTGGAAGCGAATGAACCGCCCTGGCCTCTTAGGAGACAACGACGTACTTTGAATCACGCTATAAAGGTTTCACAATTTCCGGATCACCCAGCCTTTAAGTTCATCTTCTCTCAGACGTTAATCCGTTCTTTCTTGAGGGAGCGGTCCACGTCATCGCAGCCAATGTGTCTGCGCGTCCGGGACTGGCTAGACTAGTCGCTCATTACGCTGGATGACATTGCCCCGCACACCCTTCGGGACCCAGCCCCGTGGAGACGTCTGAGTATTAATTATGATTTGGAACCTTGTCAGCGTCTTAAAAATGGCACTTCACCACGAGAGTTCCTCACGTTTTCGTTGGAACAGATCTCACAATACGCGAACTCATTACAAATATTTACCGATGGGTCCAAGGGTTCAACAGGAACGGGTTGCGCATTTGTTTGCGTTGACCATACCGTAGGTCTATGCCTCCCGCAGCACCTGTCAGTTTTTTCCTCATAACTGTTTGCTATTTTAGCAGCGCTTCAGAACGTTGCTTGTCGTCCTGAAAGGGATGTAGTCATTTTGACCGTAGTGCACTTTTATCATTCGACCCGACGGCGATGTCACGTGACCACTCATTTTTGACGCGCTCAATTTGGGAGGAACTGGAATGGCTGGACAACACTTCCTGCCGTACCACATTTATGTGGATCCCCAGCCACATGGGAATAATGGGAAATGAAAAAGCCGACACCGCAGCGAAAGCTGCGGCGTATGAGAGAAAGCCAATACCAATTTATGTACCGGGTCGAGATCTGAAGACAGTCATTTCCAAATACGTCCGCAATACGTGGCAGCACATGTTCGACCAACATGTTCACGCTTTCAGAGAAATCAAGCCCCAACTGGGTGATTGGGAATCCTCCCATCGCCGAAGCCGCTTCCAGGAAGTCGCCCTTTGTAGGCTTCGGTTAGGTCACACATATGCAACACATTCGTTTTACTTGACCCGTAAGGATGTGCCGCGGTGTGATAGATGCGGGGACCGGTTGTCTGTTGGACATGTGCTCGTCTCATACCGGCGTCTTGAGACGGAGAGGCGACGATTTTTTCCTGCAGCGCCCCTCCATCGGTTACTCGGTCGAGACCCATGTGGTGAACTTGGAGATATTCTCGCACTTTTAACACACATTGACTTTGACGTTATTTTCACTCACCCCTCAGTGTAAATGCGCCAGTGATACTACCTGTTATTAGTTGACAACATACTTATCGCGTCGTCGGAGAGGTAGATAACCGTCATCGAGTGGGCGCAAAATGGCCCCGATGCTGACGCGCCCTTAAGAACCAAATCACCACCACCAGCTACACGAGCAGTACGACTGCTCGACTCTAACGGCCGTGTGAGGTGTTCGGTCGGTCTCCGCTGACTGGACCCCGTGACCGACAGCTGCACGAGCAGTACGACTGCTCACTCTGCCGGAAGCCGTTCGTGACGCAGGCCGACTACATCAGTCACATGCAGTCGACGCACCAGGTGATGCCGGAGATTATGTCGGACTCGCTTTGTCGGCACCGGTGTGAGGCGTGCGGAGACACGTTCTGGTCGCACGCGCAGCTCACGCAACACCTCAACAAGCACCCCGACGGTGAGTCAACGCTCGCGGTCGGCACGCGACGGATGTTGGCGCGATGGGTTGACGGGGTACCGGCCGTTGTGTGGGCATGACGGCTGGACTCGGTCGGGAGCTTCACACTGTGACGCGATACTAGCGTGGGGTGCCATGGGTGTGGCCACAGAAATGAACACAGCTGACGGAGAAGCGATTTTGCGCTCGATATGCTGGGTCTGTTGAGTTACGTGCCGTACAGCCGTGGTGAAGGCTGTACGGCACGTAACTGGTCGCTGCTGGCGGACTGCCGTGTCGCTCTGGATTGTGCTGGCGTCGGTACTGTTCAGCCGCCACGCCGCCGCTGACCGATGTGCCGGCCGCCAGCTTCTCTCGAATGCTCGCGCTGCCACACCGAGTTCCAGTCGGCCGCGCAGCTGCACCGCCACCTGCGCCGCTCGCTCTGCTCGCGCACACCCGAGCTCATCTGCCACCAGTGCGGCGCGCAGTTCTGCGCCCACTTTGCGCTGCGTAAGCACTTGGCGCGCGCGCACGGCGAGGGCGGCGCGTCGGACCGGTGCCCGCACTGCGACTATACCAACAGCAGCGCCACCAACCTTCGGCGCCACGTAGCTGCGCACCAGCAGCTGTCGCGCCGCTACGTGTGCGACCAGTGTGCGGCCGCCTTCCACACGCTCAGCACGCTCAAGGACCACCAGCTGTACGTGCACACGACCGAGAAGCACTTTGTGTGCGCCGAGTGTCAGAAGGCGTTCAAGACGAGCAGCTCGCTGAACCGACATATGCGCATCCACTCGGAGACGCGACCGTACCAGTGCTCGTGCGGCCACGCCTACAAGCGCATGTCGCATCTGCGCCGCCACATGACTGCCGTGCACAACGTGCGCACGCGCACGCGGCTGATCGCGCGGCTGACGGACGGCGGCGCGGCCGGCTCGTCGGACAGTGGCTCGGACGCGGCGGCAGCGGTGCCGGCCGAGCCGGAGGAGCCAGCGCCGACGGACGGGTCGGCGCCATATCTGGCTGGCCTGGTGGGCACCGACCAGCCAGTCACCTACCTGGCCGACGAGTCGACGCTGCTCCGCGTGTACTCGGTGGGCGAGGAGCTGTCCGAGTTCACGTTGCCGCAGGGCGTCTACAGCACAGACATGGTGTTGCTGCCCGACGGCTCGCGCTCCATTATGCTGAAGCCGGCCGGCGAGCTGGGTCAACTGGAGGCGGGCGCCGACGGCGGCGAGGCGGCAGCAGCGCCGACCGCCACGTTGCCGCCCCCTTCCACTATCCGCTCACACCAGAGGCTGCTCTGAGACGGCCCCAGCCCCGGCGGGCGGCGGACGGGCGTTTCTAGACGTTTAATCGGCCCCCTACACGGTACGCGCACGCCAGAGGCTGCCCTAAGATGGCTCCGACCTTGGCGACCAGAGGGTGAGCGTCATGTTTGCCACGGAAGGGCGGAGGAGGGCTGTTGGAAGGCTCTGTTCCCTGGATAACATGGTGGAGGGTAGCCTATTTATATAGGCTTTTTGTTCTTCGAGGAACTAAGCATAAACAACAGTTTTGCTACTATGACGTAAAGTGATGCCCCCTTTTTACAATGTATGTTATGTGCATTTGCTGAGGTGCGACTGTGAATACCTGGATTTCAGTAATGTGATATTTGGTTCCATACTGTGTCTTGCTTGTGTGTAATCAGGGAATGTATGCACGCGTTGGTTGTGCTGACAAACCTGACAACTAATTCAATACAGCTGTGTCGTGAGCCGATGTGTGCTATCCACAGGCGGGGAGCGAAGGCAGTACTGGATGGACCGCCCAGCCCATGTGGTCCTGGCGGCATAGCCTAGTGAACTGCCAGGTGTGCTGATAACTTGGTGGGCTCGTGTCGGTTGCTAGAGGAAGTCGAGTTTTCATCTCGCAACTAACGGGACGGCCGACCTCCATAGCGGCGCTGATAGTACGGCTGCATCGTTGCCGGATCTGGCCAAACATTGTGTTGGAGATCCGCATGATGCACCATATGGTGTCTGATTGCCCTACAGTTCCTCTGGCTGCTGAACCATGGGCCAGAGGCCTGCATCAGTACTAGAAGCATGTTCTTGTGCCTTCTTGGGTGGAAAGGAATGTGAGGTTTGAAGCACTGACGGGGGAACAGCTAAATACTTGGAGGTTCACAGTTTTTGTGAAATATTTTTTGGTGCCACTTGTTGCACACCAGTACTACTCACACGGGGTTAGGGAAGGCTTTGTGTTACCTTTGTCCAAATATGTAGCTGCGACTACCTCGTGTGCTGACATAGACTTCCGATTGCATGAATCAATTCAAGGTTGACTTGGCTTTCAGTAGGCCATCTGGAGACGAAATTTGTGGCAGGGTTCTTAGTTCAGGGAAATGTGTTAAGAGTTCAATTCAGTTCAGGGTTTGGTGAGTGAGTATCGTTGTTGTAATGTGGTGGTAATTGTGTGTGTGTGAGTGGCGGGGGATGACAAAAGGCTGCACTTATGCCACAAAAATGAAAGCTCAAGACGAGGCAATGCTACTGCAGTAAGGACATTGGGGCTCGGTACGCATTGTCCAGTGCTACCACGATTCTTCTGTTTTAGTATTACAGCGATTACGGGTGAATGATGCAGCCAAAAGTAGAAGAAACGTGTCAACAGTCAATAGGAATTTGAATCGAAGATTTTCTTGGGTGGGAAGCCGCTTTTTGATGGCAACTGACAGGTCGGCTCGCTTGATTTAAAAACAAAAGTACACAGCATTTTGGTATTACCGTGGACGTCGAAGAGGAAGGAGAAGGCTGCTCCGAGCCGTGAACTTTCCTGCTTGTCAGGATATTGATCTTGGCAAACGGCATTGTCGTCACGGTATTGATCTTGGCAAAATAGGTATGTTATGGTGTTTGTACTTAAAATTGGAAATATTGATCTTCGTCACGTTGATGCCGCATGTTGGAAACAATGTCTTGATATATTGTTTTCAGTATGTTGACAATACCATATGAGACCCACACTACAAAACTATCAGTGGTGGATCCAGAGTGTGTGTGGGGGGGGGGGGGGAGAGGGGCATGCGGCCTCAGTGCCCTCGGGCCCCGAGGGCGCCCATAGGTTCCGAAGTAACCCATAGCCAGCCGGACAGACGCAGTTTTGTTTAACGCAAACTCAGCAGCAGACAAAACCAACCAACAATACAAACAAAAACAACAGCAAACAAACAAAACAGCAAAACAAACGCAGCAAACTCAGGGTATGGGCTTCCAGACCACCCAGAACAGCGGCAAGCGAAAATGAAAGGACCACGAGCAGACAAAACAAATTCGCCAGTGATGGAGAGGGTGGTGATTTGGGGATTTCCAGGTTCATTACGTTGTTCAGAGGCCTTACGCTGTTCCCGGGGGCCCTATCTGTCTCCCTGCAGAGTAAATCCTATTTGAGCGCCTTCCACGCTGCCCTGACTTCTTTGGCTTTGTTCGGAGGGCCTTGCACTGTTGTCTGCTCCCTTTCTGTCAGTGTACCGGGGCACCCTTGTCGATCACGGGCCTTCCACAGATTCTTCCCATTCTCCCGAAAGGTTCGGTATGCTACAGCCGGAGCCCCATATAATCTCCTTGCAGGATATTCTCAGTTGCTCAGGGGCCCTTCACGCTGGGCTCGATCAACCGACCAACATCGTCCAATATGTCGTTCGAAGACCCTCCGCGTGGGGTCTTGCGTGTTTCCTATTTGAATGGAGGACCCCACACTGCAGTCGGGCCCACTTATTAACATGCGCTGGGGTAATGGGTCAAACTGACCCCGCAAGGCTGACCCCGTCAAACACCCCAAACGGATTGTTTGACGAAGTTATACATCTTTGAGATAGTCTCTCAGGCAACACGACAATTGAGCAAGCCAATTCCATTGACCATGATCAGATATGAAGTTCAGGCCAAGCCCAAAATCAGCCTGCTTTAATAATTTAGTGCCTGCGCTATGAGGTAGTTTTTGGTGCCTTTTCCGAATTAATTGACGACAGGAACCGCATTACGCATCTTCCACGGACTTTTTAAAGCTCAGAATAGGTCACTGACCTAAAATGACTTAAGCCAACATTTCGTTTTTAGGAACATATTGTCTAGAGTAATATTTGTCCTCTATTCAAATGCAAAGCTCATAGCAGTCTTGTATGATTTTGGTCACCATGACCTTCAGAAGTTCAACAGTGATCTACAATGAGTGTGTGACCTTTTCATTTTAACAGATATCTGGGGTCTGGGGCCTTTGAAGACCAACCTGGAGTTTGACTTTGTTTGGCCTTATTTCACCCGAAGGCCACGATCAAGGAACGTTGAACTTTGACCTAAGCGAGTTCACGTACGGGCCAAAACACTCCGAATTTGGTGGCTCTAGCCCTCTAGTTCCTAAGATCTCAGGGAAGCGTTAAACTGCCCCCCCCCCCCCCCTCCCACCCGAGCGAGGGGTATGAAACCGGCCACCCGGGCGCGTGTTAACCTGCCCGGACCCGCTCGATTGTTCGCGGGCCCCCACATTGTGTCTTGGGTATCTCTCATTTCCTTGGTGGGCCCTACGTCCTTGTCGGGGACCCTATCTGTCCCCATCCCTTCCTATTTGAATGGAGGGTCACACGCTCATGTTGAGGGTCCATCTGCCAACCTGCTCGTCGGGTGCATTCGATCGCTCGTGGGCCCCTACATCGTGTCTTGGGTACTTGTTATTTAAATGACGGGTCTTACGTTCTCGTCGAGACCAATCTGTAAAGCTGTTCGGGCTAAGGGAGGATCCAGAGGGGAGCGGCACGGGACTTTGCCTCCCTTGTGCCTCGAAGGGGCTCATAGGCTCCAAATGGGTCCAGAACCGGCTGAACGGACGCAGTTTTCTATAATAAAAAAAACAGCGCACTTCGACGTCTATGCCTCCAGACGGCCACGAAGAGTCGCAAATGAAAATGAAGAGCCCTAAGCAGACAGGGGTAAGTATTAACTGATTGGAATGGTGACGATTGGGAGAGATTTTGAGGCTCACTACGCTGTCTAGAGGCCCTACGCTGTTGCGTGGGCCCTATATATCTGTAAGTTCTGCTGTTCCAGCGTCTCGCCTCCGGCTCACTGATACACACTAAAGCCACAGTATTTGTAATGTAAAGTATAAAGTATATTATATACTAAAGCCACTGTCTGTACAGCTGTACAGCTGTACAGCTGTCTGCTGTTCGTCTATGGACGTATGTACGGCCGGTGCTGGTGTGAATGTGCGGCGCCGCGGCCGGCGCAGTCCGATGTGTCGGTGTGGCCGACGGCGGCTGCTGCTCTGCATATTATAAATACTGTGGCTTTAGTATATAATATACCAACTGCACAGTATATAAAGCCACACCACACACTAAAGCCACAGTCTCACTTCTAAAGCCACAGTATTTGACACTCGCTACAGGTACTCGTTACAGTCCGCCCCGCTGGCACGTCCGTCCTCGCGCCGACGGCTCTGAGAATCTTCTCCCTGTTACCAACCCCTCTCCCAGCCCCTGTGACCACGTCCCTCGCACGGGGCAGGTGGAAGGGGCAGGTGCGAGGAGTTGCCCTTCACCTGCCTCAGGCAGGTGGAGAGGAACGCAAGCGCCTCTAAGCGGCGCTCGCCGAACTACTCAAACATTTACTGGCTAGCACATCGGTGCTCTCTGGCACCTTGCAATACACCCTTCTTAAAAGAGGAATGCCCTCATTGTTGAATTTTTCATTCATGACATAATGAACAAATCCATGACATAATAAACGTTGATCCCACGAACCTAACGTAAAGTGCACTGCAACAAAGGCCCTTGAAAAATATTTGCCATGTCATGGCAATTAGCTTAAACAACACGACAACATGAACAACACAAATACACTATGCCTTATCGTGATGCACCCAGCTGTCGCAGCCGTGAGCTCAATCGATCTGGAGGCCGTCTGACCTGGGCACCCTGCTGTTCGTGACGGCCGTTCGAACACGGTTGCCCAACAGACACTACGATCGGAGACTGGACGCATTCAAATGGGGATTCAGATTTGGTGGCGCTTCACTGGCTGGCGCCAGGTCGCGGAAGGCCAGTGGTGATGTGGGTCGCGGGATGCGTGACCTGCGCGCCGGGGTAGGGCTCGCGGTTGGTATCGCTGCTGTCGCCGGCTCGTCAGATGGTTCAGCCACAGCCCGGGCTGACGCGAGGCTCGCAGCTTCGGTCTCCGCCAGCTGACTGGCAGCCACAGCCCGGGCTGACGCGAGGCTCGCAGCTTCGGTCTCCGCCAGCTGACTGGCAGCCACAGCCCGGGCTGACGTGAGACTCGCAGCTTCGGCCTCCGTCAGCTATTGGCAGCCACAGCCCGGACTGACGTGAGACGCGCAGCTTCGGCTTCCGCCAGCTGATTGGCAGCCACAGCCCGGACTGACGTGAGACTCGCAGCTTCGGCCTCCGCCAGCTGATTGGCAGCCACAGCCCGGGCTGACGTGGGACTCGCAGCTTCGGCCTCCGCCAGCTGATTGGCAGCCACAGCCCGGACTGACGTGAGACTCGCAGCTTCGGCCTCCGCCAGCTGATTGGCAGCCACAGCCCGGGCTGACGTGAGACGCGCAGCTTCGGCCTCCGCCAGCTGATTGGCAGCCGCGGCTTGGGCTGGAGCGAGAATCGCGGCCTCGGCCTCCTCAGGCGGACACCCAGCCACGTCAGTCCCCTGTGTCACTGGTTCAGCCGGAACAGCTGTCTGCTGTTCGTCTATGGAC